GGAATTTGAGACCACACACCCCAAGGGAACACTTCTACCCCACCACCAACGATAAACATGTTGCAATTTTTTGTTGAGTTCTATTTTATGTTTTTGTTGACCGTTCCTAATACCTACCTGAGGTCGGCTTTAATATTTCTCCGGCATCTCTTTCACTACCAAGATATAAATGGTCATGTCTTCCCTTTCACAAATTCCACCTGCAGACAGTAGGACTCGTGACGCATAGACGAACAACCAAACAGGCAGACACGATGAGCTCCCACATATGGTAGCCCTCACTAAAGTGACCACAGCCGGGCTCCCATTGCTATAGCCTAGCCATACTCGAGCAACCATACCAACCCCCTCGCCCCCCCTCCTGCCGGTTCCTAGATGAGCTCTTTAAAAAGCATACGCGCAAAGAGGGGGAAGATCCCGTATGTGAATGAGAGCCACTTAGAACCCTACTCTGACACACCCACATAGGCTACTACTGACGACGAGCACTAAGTATGTTTAAAATAATGTAACCTTAACCTAAAATGTGCAATGTTCTTACGTGTCCAATACTGTTTTAAAATGTTACTATTGCTGGCAAAAGCTGTTGTGGCGTTGCCTACTACCATGTTTCACATGAGCACAATAAAATAAAGAATTTAAAAAAAATAAATGTGTCTCCACCATTTTAGACACTTGTGGACAAATTTGTATTCCAAAGCAGTTAAAATATAAAATAATAAAGAATATTTTTATTATTAGTTCGTATTCTACTTCGTGGAGGATGTTACTAAAAATTGCCATGGATTTTTTTGAAGTTTATTTTATATCCCAATATGTTAGAAAATTCTTCAATTAATTTTATATAGTTCTCTCATAGACTGTACCGTATTCTGTAGTGTCAGTATTGCATCATTCGCATACATAATTAATTTTGATTCTACATCTCGGTACAACAGAGGGCATAGTGGGCAGCCCTGTATTGTTGCATTGTATACTAAAAACCATCCTGAGTTAACACCTACAATTTTAGCTGTTGGGCATGAGCAGAGAATCATAACTGCCCTTAAGGACACAGCTTCAGAAGCTTGTCTTACGCTTAAGGACAAAGGCCATTTTTACATTATTTTGCTGTTTGTATTCAAACGCAATTTGCATCTCTGTCATTTATTGCACCAACACATATTATACATCGTTTTTTAGAGGGCAAACAGGGCTTTAATTTGATGTCACATATACATTCTCATTAATTGTATAAAAATGCCAAAATATTGGGGGGGGAAATAATTTATTTTTTCACAGTTTTGGCAATAATAGCGTGTGCATAATATGTCCAGCTTAGAAAAAGTAATTCAAAATAAATTAATTTATGTGTCTTGATTTATAGAGTACATCATATGTATAGGATTTCAGCTTATTTTGAAAGCTACAGGTCACAAAATACAAGGACTAAAATACAATTTCAATTTGCAACAATTTTAGAATTTGGTATGTTTGTCTTGTAGGTTTAGTAGCCATCACAGAAAACAAAATTGTCACACAAAAGTATATATTTATATAAAGTAGACATCAAAGGCTATTTATCCAAGGTTAGTTTGACACTTTTTACGTAGCCATTTCATCGCCAATCTCTGCTAAATATTGGAGTAAAATTGTGTTTTTCTTTATTTTGGCATATACACATATAACAAGGTTTTTGTAATGTGTATTTTGTAAAGCTGATGTGTGCTATTCCTGCACAGAATTATATATTGTGTTCAGCTACATCTGCTGAGTATAACGATACCCCCATTGTATGCCTTTGGCACTTTTCTGTAAAGCTACAGTGCTGTTTAAGAGACAAGGCTATTTTAGTTTCTATAGTTAGAATTTTCGTAGATGGATTTGACGAGCCTATGTCTCATTTTAGGGTATTCTAGCAATGTGACTGTTCAAATAACCCCACAAAGGGCTGTTATTTGATAAACCAGACACCCCAGGGTATCTTATATGGTGTATATTATGTCCTTACTTGTCACCATTTTTTCAACAATTTATGTCAATGATGTGGGGGGGGGAGTTGCCATTTTACCTATATGTTGCATTTTTGCTGAGTATTTCTTACACTTAATATGTACCACTGTCATAAATATCCCAAAATTATACTCCGTTACACCTTCTGAGTAAAACAATATGACCGATGTATGACCTAGACACTATTTTGTGAAGTTACAATGCTGTAAAAGAGACGTGACAAGCTCATAAGTTTTAAGTGTGAATTTTCATGGAGGGTTTTGATGCGTCTGTGTCCCACTTTGGAGAACTTGAGCAGGCTACATATTACAACTACACCATAAAGGCATACCTTTTCTTAAAGAAGACATCACAGGGTATTTCAAAAGGCATATTCTGAACCTTAGCGTGGGATAATTTTTCCGCTAGCTTGTACCAAGTGTAGTGGTAATAAGCGATTTATTTTTTTGGCTTTTTGACACACAAAGTGAGTTTGCACAGTATATTTTGAAAATCGTATGTGTGCTACAACTGTATAATACTTCATGTTTCTCAGCTATGTCTTCTGAGTACAGCAATACCCCCGTATGTACCTTTGCCAGGTATATGTGGATGTTGAAGGGGCATATTTGAGACGCAGCCATTCAGTTTTTTTTCTAACTTTGAAGTTTTACGCTGTGCCCATTTTCCATTTTGGAGTAGTTTAGATGGTTGGTTATTGAAACTTCCCCACAAACATATGCTAGTTATTAAAGAATACACCCTGGGTAATTCAAAAGGCGTATTTTGAACCTTAGTGTGGGATGATTTTTTTCTCTAGTTTGTTCCAGGTGTAGTGGTAATGATCATTTTTTTTTTTTTTTATAATTCTTTATTTTTTATTTTGTCAATGACAGATATAATTAGGTAGTGCAATTTAGTGGCTTGCGCAGAAGCCGCGATATCGTTCAGGCAGTGTATAGGTTATTACACGTACATCTTTTGAGATTTACACCTGTCTGTCATCGTTTTTCAACAAATACGGTAAGAACAACATTCAGATAACTTACAACTTATAACATAAGAGGTTATTCTTAACAGGGCCTTTGGGTTGCCGTCGCGGTGCAGCGGCTTTGGCGTGTTGAGCATCTAGGTCGGGTTACCGGAAAGTCCGACCTTGTATTGGGGATGGGGTGAATTAACCTAAAAAGAGGGGGGGGGGATGGAGAGGGAGGGGGGGGAAGTGGTCTTGGACGTTTCTAGTGGTTTGCTAGTCATCTGTGTGGTTATCCCATGGTTCCCATACCTTTGTGAAAGCTTTCATAGTGCCTCGTATTTGAGCCGTCAGTTTGTCCATGAGGTGACACTCTTTGATCTTGTTGAGTACTGCGGTCATTGAGGGAGGGTTTGGTTGTAACCATGTTTGGGCTAGGGCTTTTCTAGCTGCTAATGTTATCTTGTTAAGCAATTGTTGTTCAGGTCTGGGTAGGTCGTCTAGGGGTCTAGCCAGCAGGAATGTCCATGGGTTTGTGTCTATCGGTCTATGTAAGATTTGCGCTATTAGCTTCTGGATGTTTTCCCAGAACAGTTTAATTATGGGGCAGTACCACCACATATGTGCGTACGTCCCTTTTTCTCCGCAGTTACGCCAGCAGAGGTCCATGGGTGTTTTTTTCATGTGGTATAGTTGGACCGGTGTGACGTACCAGCGTAGCATCGTTTTATATGCCTGTTCCTGCATCGTGACGCAAATGGAGGTTCTGGAATTGGCTTCCCATATTTCCTGCCAGTCAATTCCCTCTAGTGTTTCCCCTAAGTCAGCTTCCCATTTGTCTATGTATTGCAGGTCCCCCCAGTCCCGAGTGGTGGAACAGAGGTGGGAGTAGAGCTGGGTGATCATGCCCCTATGGTATTGTTCCGCTATGCAGATGCGCTCAAAGAATGTCGGAGTGGTTTTGGCGGCGGTTTTTACCGTCGTTTGGGCCGCGTAGTGTTTTAGTTGCAAATACCGGAAAAAGTCGGCTGGTTTCAGAGTTGCTCTAGATTGTAAGTCTGGAAAGGAGACTATTGTGTCGCCCATGTATAGGTGGCACGCTCTCTGGAGACCTGCGTGCTCCAGCCCTTTGAAGTCCCATGGTCGCATACCTGGCGTGAAAGCCCTGTTTCGGTATAGGGGGGTGAGGGGGGAGGTCTTAGTGGTTAGGTCGTATTTGAGGGCATAAGTATCCCATAATTGGATTGAGTTGGTGATGGCTGGGCACGCCGTTCTCGGTAGTGCTCTATGCTCTTTTGGTGTCCAGATGTAGAATTGTGGGAGGTCTGATCCCATTAATGCTGATTCTAGGTCTACCCACCTTCTAGTTTCTGGGGGGGTGTGCCATAGGGCTATTTGTGCCATCTGTGCGGCTATGTAGTAGAAATGTAGGTGGGGTAGGCCCAGGCCTCCTTTCGTTCTGGGGCGGTAAAGTATGTTGCGGGCTACTCTGTGCCTTTTATCCTGCCAAATAAATCTATCTATCGCCCGTTGCAGGGGGATGAGATTGTGTTTTGTGATAGGGATGGGTATGGCCTGAAAGAGGAACAGAATTCGGGGTAATGATCATTTTTAAAACTAGTTTTTAAAACTTTTTTTTTTTTTGCTTATTAATTCTTTTTAAACTTTCCTAAACTTTCTTAAAACTTTTTTTTTTTACAGATTTTACCGTTAACCCCTAACTAGCAATAAGCAGCACTAACTGTAAATTCCTCAATTTCCCATAACTCCCACCCCAGCTAGCAAAATATACAATTGCAAAATATTTAATTAAATAAATTGAACCCCTGAGGGTTAAAAAAAGTTAACCCTAAGGGGTTTAACCCCTTAAGGACACATGACATGTGTGACATGTCATGATTCCCTTTTATTCCAGAAGTTTGGTCTTTAAGGGGTTAAAAAAAAATCTGATCACAGTATAATACTGTGATCTGTATTTTGATCACTGTAGGTGTTCAACTGGCAGGGAAGGGTTTTTTTTTTTTTACAGGGAGAAGATCAGCTCTGATCAGTCTCCCTGCACTTCACACTGAACCCGGAAGTGCAGGGAGGCGGACCAGGAGTCCCTGCAGCACATGTGCTAGCTCTGACAGCCTGTGCTCCCGGTCTGCCCCTAATACAGAGGCAGACGGGAGCAGCGTTAATCGCGGTGATCTGGGGTCAACTTTACCGCATGACGGACCTGGTCCGTCATTCTGCATTAACAGTTTCTCCGCCTTGATGGACCAGGTCCGTCACTCGGCGGGAACAGGTTAAGAGGTTACCTTGGAGCCCCATTGCTTTTTAACGAGCTTTCCAGGAATTCCCACCTGACCCGGTCACCCGCCTTCTCGGCATCCAATGACTAGGCCAAAAGGCGTTCGACTCCACTGAATCAAGTATGTTAAATAGTCTACGTATATTATTTGAAGATCTACCGGGAGGCATTAAGCCTGTTTGATCTATATTAATTTGATTGGTAATAATCTTTTTAATTCTGTCAGCCAAGATTGCACAATATATTTTAATGTCTGCATTCAAAAGTGCAATTGGGTAATAGTTGGATATTTTCATAGTATCTTTATATGGTTTAGTAATGTCATGTACTCTTGGATCTACTAGTGTTCACCTCTGAAAGTATGTACTATTTCTATTTCATTCCTATTAATTAGTGCATGGTAGGCAATCGTTCTATTGGATCCCAACCTGCAACATGAGCCGATTTCAATGTGTAGAATTGGTTAACATTTCTCTTGAATGGATGCATGTAGAGGGCCTTATGTTTTGTGATATTTTGTCATATGATGGTGTAGCACTACCTGCACAAACACATTTATTCCTGGCAGCCATTTTGTAGAAGGCTAATGGTAAGTGTATGTGTGTGTGTGTATGTTTGTGTTTTCTACCATACATTTCCTACATTTATTGATGGTATTTCACACTGTACTATCATAAGCACCTAACACAAGTATTAAGGCAATTTTGCCTGGATTTGTGGGAGGTGCTGGTTTGCTACCCCTAGCTTACTTAAGGCACTCCCCTTACCTTGCTCCTTACCGTTCGAGGTCAGCGTTAATTGAGGATCCACTTCCGGGTTCTCTCAGACGCCATCTTGGTTTCTTACCCACGAGTTTCTCCGCGGCAAGCTGTGTCCAGGAATCCTCTTGCAGGCCTTTTCCGTCCGTTCAGCTTCTTACCCGGGTCTTCGTCGTAGATCGCGTCCCAGGGACTCCTAAAACGTGTTAGACCTACCTGTCACGCCAGGATCGGTTCCCATGGCACACGGTAAAGCACGGGTCCTCACTTTACGGTTTTCTCTGCACAGTCGCATTACATAGCCTTTCTCACGGCTTCATTTCGTACAAATTGTTCGGCTAAATTCATGCGTATTAGAGAAGCGATCAGCTCGCACAACTGTTTTCCCTTGCTTCATTTAAACGATTATCATTTCGGTTGTATTTCCGTTCGGCACTTATTCATGTTACATTCATGCATTAAAGTGCATACGTTTAAGCTATTCATGCCAAAGCCATTTTCATTGCTATTTTTAAGGTATCACTTATTACATCAAGGGCATGCAACCAGCTAACATTTCTGTATGGATCATTGGATTCCCACGCTTACAGGAGTTTTCATAAATTATCCATTTCATTTCAATTAACTCGGCCTATGTTACAGGCCTCATTTCTTTGTTATGACCATGACACATAAGGCTTTAATTCTTTTTCATGCATACTCAGGTTGAATCACACGTACTGATCCAACCAATCATACGTTTCCTGCACAGACATATATATATATATATATATATATATATATATATATATATATATATTTGCTCCACATGGTTTTTTCCTGTGAATTTGTCATACTACCAGGTACGTACACCTGCTCATATGGTATTCTACCATACATTTCCTACATTTATTGATGGTATTTCACACTGTACTATCATAAGCACCTAACACAATTATTTATATATATATATATATATATATATATATATATATATATAGCATGTTTTGTGTACCTGAAACTCACCATGACCATATGGCAAGACATGAAGTACCCATAAAGTTTGATTAAAGTGCCCATAAGTCTCTGCAAACTGAGGGTTGCAGTTTGAAAAATGCACCACTCTGAATATTAATTGGTTATAATCCGCTACGCCGCTGTAAAGATTTCTGACTGAGTGCAGTTGTGTGTTGGCAGTTGTTGACAAGCATCACATTTCACATCTTCAAGGATATAATGAACTCAATAGAAAAAAAATTAAAAATAAAAATATTCAATTACACTATAGAGCAAATTCAAATTTTAGGAGGTGAAGTCTTTATTTCAGACAGGTCTTTCAGTGTTCTGTGATATGATGCTTTGTAGTTGGATTTTTATTTTCTATAGGTATATGCGTGTTTTACACCATATATATTTAATTTGTCGCTCAATTACCAGTATATGATTTGTTTCCATTAGGTGCAGTACTCTGCCTATACTGCAGTGGGTGGTGTTGGATCAGCAATCAAACTGATTTTTGCTGGATTACTTTTTGTACTTCTCTCAAAATTTAGCTGTGGAAGAAAGCTTATGATAAAAGTAAGTGTTTGTATAGTTTGCTATTTAATCATGGTAACAAAGCAATTTTAACAAAGCAAGCCCTTAAACGTTGTGTACATTTTTCTAGCTATTTTTCTTTTTCTACAGTACCCCAAATTCTTTTCATTTGGCTACGTCTCATCGGAGGGACCAACACAGCAGCAGGTAATTTTAGAAACATTTAAGGACTCAATTGGTGCTCTGGGCACAAAGCACAATGGCGTGAACTCCTATGTTAGACTGCCACATTTTTATAATGAGAAATCCGTGAAAATCAGGCTAGATAAAAAGGTTATATCGTGCTTAACCCCTTAAGGACCAAAACTTCTGGAATAAAAGGGAATCATGACATGTCACACATCATGTGTCCTTAAGGGGTTAATGAACTTAAATTGGTAAATTCCACCATAACCAAGCCATATTAGTGCCAAACAATCCACTTTGCCCACAGAATATATCAGATCAGGATATTGCTCGGAGCATACCCTAGACATTAAATTACCTTCAATGTGTGCATACTATGTTAACTATGTTAACACATCTAAAGAGAATTATGAGTGGGTAACGCATCATATTAAAGAACAGGTTAGACCTATTAGACATGGCGTTTTAAACAGCTTAACTGTTAAAAGGATCATGGTGGATAAGCCACCAAGACCCAGCATACTCTATCACCATCGCTTCATATATAGTGCTTAGCAGATTAAATTAAACTATAAGGCAGAAATAATAAAATAACAGAACTGTGAGTGTTCGCATATATGGGTTAAAACGGTGACTGATAGCTGCAATGAAGCTTTCTTGGTGATAGCTGGCAAAGCGCTTGATGTCTCAGCCATGCTCGTCCATGCTTGATGCCTCAGCCGTTTGCTGCAGGCCACAAAAGTCGCTCGGATGGAGCCAGCAGTTTAGTCTGCATTCTTGATGTTGGGATGGAGATCACACTGTTCCCTATCACCTAGCAGCTAATATGAGATCAGTAGTCGTTTCTTATTCATCGGCAAGATTTGCCACCAGATGTAGGAGCTGCAGTGACATGCATCTGCTCTGCTCCGTGGTCAGGCCCTGTTCCCACATTTAAAGTCACCAAAACAACTTTAGCTTAATGAAACAGTTTTGGTGTATAGATCATGCAACTGCAGTCTCACTGCTCAATTATCTGCCATTTAAGAGTTAAATCACTTCATTCATTAACATGTAAATTTATAAACCTTTATTGACCAAATCAATTTGCTTCGTTTGACAGATGGACGAATCCTCTTTTGACATGACATTCTTTGGTGAGGGTTATAGTAAGGGTAAAGACCCACAGCAAGGGAAGCCAGATTTGAAAATCTGCACTCAGGTTTCAGGACCAGGTAAGCTGAGCTTTCTACTGGGCACCCCTAATTTATACATATATATTTAAAGACCTAGGCTTTAGCCAAAGGACAAATTGTACAGCTTATTTTACATATATATGCTCCTACTACAACCTTGTCTAAACCTAAACCCAAATACATTTGATGAATCAAATTACAAAGCTTGAGACCAATAATCACTCTAAATTCTATCTATCTAATGATCTATCTAAATCTCCTGCTGTTTTAACCCTGCAGCACTAGACCCAAACACACAGTTTTAAACCTGCACTCACAGCAATACCCTCACACTGTGCTGTATAAGTCAATCTAAATATGGTATAGAAAAATGAGTGTCACAAATCAAAAATTGGAAAGTGTTGTTTATCTCTCAGAATTACAGGGACCTTGGGGGAACAATGAAAGGGTGCTACAATTAAGCCTGTGGCATTTCAGGACGTCACTTGTGGCTCTGTCCTGAGTCAGCCCCACTAGCTCCAATATTAAAGTTAAACTAATTATACTTTGTGTCATCATGTCACTTTGGTTGTTATATACCCTTCTCTGGCATGCAATGTTCTACTGAAGTAAAAGCGCAAAACAGTCATATATTATTTTTAGAATGTATTTCTTTACATTGTAATTGCAGAGGTTGCCTATGTGAGTACTCCCATTGCAATGGTGCAGGCTGCAGTGACCATTTTAAAGGAACCAGGTTCCCTCCCAGAAGGGTAGGTATAGCATCAAGGACATTCTTCATTCTGTTTGACACCACTGCATATATTTCACATGGGGGAAAAAAAGATATACAGCATATATTAGACTACCCTAGGAAGAAAAAAATAAACAAATATGCAACTGCATGTAGGTTATGTTGTTCTATGTGTTTTCTGATTGTGGTCCGAAAACTTCCAACTTTTTATTTTTTATTTTTTAATTTATATATTTATTTGTATTTTCTACATATACTAGGGTCAGTCCTGCCTGACTAACATTGTGTCACTAAAGGGTTAAATTGTGTTTTTCAAATTTTGTTCATAAGCATCTTCATTTAGAGCAGGGGTGTCCAACTCACAGCTCGGGACTGCTAGCAGTGCGGCCTGGTTGCCGCCCACGCTGGCAAGGGAGGCAGGGAGCACTTTACATACTGTGCTCCTCCACAAAAGCTCCTTGTGTGGCCTGCAGTGAGCGGGCCCCCACGATATGACGTCATCCCCGCACCGGCATCACTGCTGGGTGCGCGAGGGACCTGTGCAGGAAGAGCACAGATATAGATCCCAGGCCAGCAGCAACTGTTAGTCACCAGGGATAAAGGATCCATTCAAGCCATCCCAGAGCAAGGTTAGGGAGGTTGAGTGGACCTCTTAAGTACTCGGTGTATAAATGTAATTTTTCCTGACATATGGTGGCAGTACAGTAGGGATGTACTCTTCC